TTATTTTTATTATTATTATTATTATTATTATTTTATTATTATTATTATTATTATTTATTACAAGATTGTTGAAATCCCTCAACAAAAAACTTTCATGGTTTTTAAATTTTCTTTAAATTGAAACATTGAAGCTTTTGTGTAAAGGATGTCAATACTTATAATAAAAAATATATATATATATATATATATATATATATATATATATATATATATATATATATATATATATAAATATATATTTATATATATATATATATATATATTTTATATGTGTATATATATATATATATTTCTTTCTCTCTATATATATATATATACATATCACTACATACACATATATATTGCTTCATGTGTGCATACATTTATATATATAGATATAAATATCAATATATATATATATATTAATTATATCATCTTTTACTTTCCCTCGTATCGTATCCCATTATCAATACTTATTTATACTTTTAAATCAATAAGATCGAGATTAAGACATGATTGAAAAAAATCGTAATTTAAAATGAAAGAATTTTCTTTCTATCAACAAATGAACGTTTAGAATTCATATATAGAGTAAGAGTGAGAGAGAAAGAGATCATATTGGACATTATAATTTTCTCAGGTAATGAATTATATTTTTAACAATCCGGCAGATTTTAATCACTTTCTATGTGTTTTTTAATGGATACTAATATTTAAATAGACGCTGCATTTACTTAGTAAACAGTATGTTTATTGATGTTCGTCTTTCGGCCCGAATATTTGAGAAATTTCATTAAAGAAAACAAGACTGAGAGAAAGTGTCGATTAAGCGACTCGGCCATGGAGCAGCCTCGCTGAATGATAGAAATGTGGCTTTAAGTGAAATCACATTCGTAATAAACTCGTCGAAATGTTCATATTTACTCAGTTTCATATCCAAACGAAAACAAAATGCTTTTTTCAAGAAGAATTTTTATTTATTATACCGACAGATTTTTATCACTTTAAACATTCTCTTTAGGAAATATTCATGTTGGAGTAGACAAAGCAATTATTTGTAAAACAGAATATTTATTTATTTTCGTCTACTGTTTAATAAATAAATGGAGTGTCCACTCAAATATATGTATCCACTAAAACAAATAATTTAAAGTGATATATATATCATAATCATGATCCAATTCGTCAGACCTAAAAATTAAAAAATTGGATCATGATTACGATTCCAATGTAATAAATTATAACCAGGGAATATTAGTGTTTGGGCCTTTTATATTATATTCTTACTCTGTACTGGACATTGAGTTCTACCTGGATTCTATCATGTTGGAAATATATATATATATATATATATACATTGACCATTAATATTATTAATATATATGTGTGTAAGTGTGTATGGGTATATATATATATGTGCGTGCGTGTGTGTGCGTGTGTGTGTGAATATATGTGTGTGTGTGTGTGTGTGTGTGTGTGTGGAGTGCACGCGCATGTGAGTGTGTATTACTGCATATGTTAAAATCTGTAACATTTCTGGAAGAAGTATACTCAACATTGATAATAGAATGTTTGTAAATAAAAAAATTGTGTGTATAGAAAAAATCAACATTGCATAGGGATTGGCACTATCACGCCTTTACTAATAATCAGACCATGATTGAAGGAGCCAAGTATCACACAGTGTAGATTTCTATTTCTATTTTACACACACACACACATATTTTTACACACACACATATATATATATATATATATATATATATATATATATATTATATATATTTTATATATATATATATATATATATATATAAAGTTTATTGTTTATAATTGAGAACATCCAGTACTTGAGGGAATTTAAAATATTTAAGCAAATTAGAACAAACTTGAAATTTCTTAAGTTTTATTTTTTTAGTTTATCTACGTTTTCAAATTCGGTGTACATCTTGATCAAAGAGTAGAAAAATGAAATTAAAAATTAAACAAACGGACCACTTGCAGGTTGAACCTAACAAAACATGTTTGGTTATATAGATAGATAGATAGATAGATAGATAGATAGATAGAGAGAGAGAGAGAGAGGGGGCGGGGGATAGTGATACTTATAGATATATAGATATACAGTTAGATAATGGCCAGACTAATGTATATATATATATGTATATATATAAATGTCATATATATATATATATATATATATATTTACACACACACACATATATATATATATACATATTTATGAGATAAAGATATATATTTTATATATAAAGAACATTACTGAGAAAATTGTTTCCTCCCTCAAGACTTGATCGGACTCAATGTTTGTATACACACACACACACACATATATATATATATATATATATATGGTGAGAGAGAGAGAGAGAGGGCGAGATTAGGGGACAGAGAAAGAGAGATCGATAGATAGATATGAACAGAATGAGATAGATAGATAGATAGATAGATAGATAGATAGATAGATAGATAGATAGATAGATAGTAGATAGATCGGTATACATATCACTGTTTTGTTTCATTTTGGATTTTTTGTCTTTATTTTCTCAAACAGTGAAATTAATAACAACAGGCATAGATCAAAAAGTCCTACTAAAATAAAATCTCAAACTGTTCCGCTTGTTACTAAATATAAGGATAGCAACTGAAACACGTATACAGACTAAAAAGTTTCGTTTATATAGTGCTAGTAGTATATATAAGGCATTTTTGAATTTTCTTTTTCACCTTTTCATGTTTCGTCGATGAAACGTTACCTGTAAAATAAAATAATATTTATTTCACAAACAGTTCTACATTGAGCTGAAAATGCTATTTAGGTGACACTTATCAATACTTGAATTTTACTCTATCGTCATCGAAATTAAATTTCAACTAATTTCAACAATTTTTTTTTTTTTACTCAACATGCATCAGCAACTGAATAAATTTTGTCCGGTTAGAAGAAATTGTGACCATTTCTTCTGATGAAGTTCAATAACGGGAAACGTATGAATATATATATTTTTTTTTTTTTAAATTGTCGTGTTGTACATATGCCTCACAAAAATACGTCACACATAATGACAATGCCGACTTCATATCGTTTAATGTCAGCATTATATGTAACGTATTTCTGCCACACTTTTTATTTACCACTCAGTCAGATTATCATCCAAAACAATGATAACAGTGCGATATTAATTACATTACTGTTAGAGGTGTTTCATATTATGTCCTATATTTTCTGGCGCACATTGTACTTACCATTCTTTCAGATTCTCATCGAACATATATATATATATATATATATATATATTATTATTATTATTATTATTATTATTATTATCTGATGTGTATCTGACTCTGGGCTCTCATATGGACTGAAAAATCCTCTTTGGAATAATCCCCACAAATTACAATTTTGTATATATATATATATATATATATATATATATATAGAGAGAGAGAGAGAGATAGATAGATAGATAGATAGATAGATAGATAGATAGATAGATAGATAGATAGATAGATAGATGTATATATATATGTGTATATATATATATATATATATATATATATATATGATATAAATATATAAACTATATAATATAGATTGCTTTATATATTTCTATATATATAATATAATACATTTACAGTTTATATATTCTTCATATATATATATATATATATATATATATATATATATATATATATATGTATTTTGACAATTTTGAAAATTATTACCCTGGCAGCTTTGCTGCTTATTTGGGTGCATTATAATGTTGGAGGTATTTATAATGCCTTATATGTTAGCAGGATTTTCTTCAATTGTATTTAACATTGTGTGATTCTCATCCTACTATAGTTATATATATATATACGTACATATATATATATATATATATATATATATATATATATATATATATATATATATATATATATATATATATGTGTATATGCTTGTTAGTGTTCTCAGAATAAAAATATATATATATATATTGCATCATTTATATATATATATATATATATATATATATATATATATATATATATATACGATATATACAAATATATGAAATATATATACGACTATTTAATATATACTGCTTCATATATACGTATATATATTAATTACATATATATATTGCTTCATGTGTATACACACATAATCACACACATATATATATATATATATATATATATATATATATATATATATATATATGTACATATACATATATATATATAATATTGTGAAAAGATTTAAACATACACCGATAACTGTCCCGGCTTTCAACCTACATTCACATTAGTTAGATTTTTGGTAATAATATCTATGAGACAATTTGGAAAATTATCACCCCGGCCACTTTTGCGGTTATTTGGAATAAAGGAATTTAACTTCACCAGTTGAAAATTGACATTAACAAGACAAACGCCATCCATTTTAAGCGGTTGACTTTAACTTTGTTATTAATTAAATTTGAGTGAATTTTAAATCTCTTCTTATTTCTTTAGTACTTTTATTTTTGTAAATTATTTTAAAATTCTACAAACACACTCACAGATATATATTTTTTTTTATTTTTACATTATATCTAACAGTGTATTATTATGTGGAATAAATATAGCGTAAAAGTATTGTGATTACATATAAATTTAATTTATACTCATATTATTATACTTATTCTAATAAATAACAAATCTTATATGCATCAATAGATATTTTTACTAACATGTATATATATATATATATATATATATATATATATATATATAATCATATACCTATATATATAACATATATATATATATGGAGCAAAATAGATATTATATATATATATATATATATATATATATAATATATATATATATATATATATATATATATATATATATATATATATATATATATATATATATATATATATATATATATATAAGGAAAATTAAATAAAATATTTAATTGCAGTGCCATGTCAGTCATCTTTAACGAAACTTCTATAAAACAGGGATTGCTATGCAAATACATAATACACACATAAACACACACAAACACACACAAATACACACAGACACACACAGGCACACACACACACAGAGACACACACACACACACATATATATATATATTCTGGAAGCTACTATTGCACAATCAAATGAACAGAGAAATATGTGGAAATTAGTACAATATGAGGAGTAGATAATGAAGTTTTTTTTAACTAATTTAATACACCTCTATATAGGTACCATTAGTTGCACGAATCACTTCAATACGGTACCCGATTTCTTGCCATATTCTCCGGAGCCTCGCTTTATCAATGGTGGCAATGGCATCAGTGATCTTTTTGCATTAGATCAGTGATGTCCCGTATTTATGTTCGATACACGATATCTTTAACATAACCCCATAGAAGTAAGTCCAGCAGAGTGATATCTGGTGAATGAGGGGGCTAGGGAATAAGGGGCCAGCCCTTCCAATCCACCGGTCGGAGAATGTTAGGGGTTCATTTAACAGTACCTCTTTCAACAGGATACCTGAAATACACAATTGTAATGAGGTTAAAATATTTAATAACTTCTGCAGTCATAGAACAAATCTAATTAAGATATCTCATCAATTGTTTTTGTAATATATGTTTTCAAATAGTAAATGACTTCATGGACACACACACACTATATATATATATATATATGAAACATACATATATATGTTTTTTAAACAGTTTGGTTGAATAATATCCTCAAGTCATGTCGATGAATTTTTGCATTAACTTTTTAAAATTTTATGAATTAGTTGTCTTATGCTATCGGTAAATTTGCCAAAGTTCATATTTATTTTTATTTTATATTATTTTTTTTCCTAAGAATAAAAAATATTATAACGGAAAATGAAAATGACTATGAATTATAATATTTACCGATTATTCATATTGTCTTTTTATAGATATATTTTTTTGAGCTATATCTGAATTTTTATTCCCCCACTCACACAAAGACACACACACATATTTTATATATATATATATATATATATATATATATATATATATATATATATATATATATAATTTTTATTTAGTATTGATATTAAGTAAACATGTTATATGTATTTACGTTATATTTTGTTCTAGATATTTATATAAATATCATATACGAAACCATATATTATATTCTTTTTTTGTGGAGCCCTTTATATCATGGTGAGTTTATATTTTAAAAATCCGTAAGATTGTACATTGTCTCTAATAATAATGTATATCATAACCCAGAAGAGTTTGGTTGGAGTTGAGAGAGGCAGACAGACCGACATAGAAAAAAAACAGACAGAGATACGAAACAAAATATTTATATTATATTTTAACGTTGAAACGCTGGAAGCGAAAATAAGCATTCGGCTTCTTCCCCCCCCCCCCCGTAATTTCGGACAAATGGCTTGACTGCTACTTCATGTGCCATTTGGTCGGTTTATTTATCCAAACAAGCAAATGCCGGAAAGACGACGGATTTCTTATGCACCTTGTCAATGTGCATCACCTAAATTTGCAAGGTGAATCAAATAGAAGGAACATACGAGCAAACACACGAACACAAGACACAGACGTTCGTGCACACACACACACACACACACACACACACACACACACACACACACACACACACACACAGGCAGAGACATACACACAGAGACACATATAGACATGAATACAGACACACACACACGGGTACATATATGTACGTCGAGGCGTTGTAATGGTAATGTAACCAGTTACGATTGAGTAGTGATTTCGATCGTCACTGGGTGATCTCTAATTTCGGCAATGGGCCTCATCTAAGCTATCTTTAGTAAATCACTATATGTGCACATATAGAGGATGCGATTATCGTCTAAATTATGCAAAAATAAAAATAACAGATATATTTACCAGAACTACGAAAAACATTTTGAAATCCTAAAGAGTAACTTTATTCAATAAAATCGCTATTGCCTACAACCACGGCCCTCAGACGACTTTGGAATCTCCTGCAACACTTCAGGACGGTCTTATTGTTTAAGTTGATGTGCAAGCTGCCATAATCCTTGCTTTTAGCTCATCTTTGATGTTACAAGTTTTGTTGTTCTCTCACTCAACACCGCTCCGCACATAATAATCAAGGCGGTTACAGACTGGGGAGTTAGAATGGTCAGATATACTTGGTGATGTGATCGCAGAAAATTGTCTCACAGCCATGACTGAGTTCTCCTGCTTGTGTGGCATGTTGCAGACTCCTATTGCCAGACCTAGCGGATTCCAGCAGCCATCCTCTTGACCCAGGACAGAACTATCTTCTCAAGGCATTCCGTGTTGAGTCTGAGGCCCTCAACAACCAATTCGAGAGTTATTTTCTTATCAGAATGATCAGAGTGGGTTTTTCGAGCAGCCGTAACTTCGTAATCACCATAAGAGTCATCTAAATCTTTCTGAATCCTCTGCACTGTCCTCAGATTGACACCTAATCGATCTAAAATGTTCGTATC